GTGTGTATGTGTGTGTGTGTGTGTGTGTGTATATATATATGTATGTATATACATATGTATGTATATACATATATATATATGTATATATACACACATATATAAAACAAGTTCTTCACTGCCTTCAACCGAAAATGTTCAAGTGTTTTCTCAGAAGTAACTCACAGGCCAATGTAAGACTCCTACCTCAATCTGAGCATTCCACTTTTATCTATTCTGTATTTTATTTCTGCATGGGTATTGCAAAAAAAAAAAAAAAGAAAATTACTGCTTACTATCTTTAGCCAATAGTCTATAGATGGGCTAATTACAACTAGGTTAGTGATGCTTAGAAAATGGGACTTTTTTCAGGACTGTGTGGCCCGCAAATGGTTCTGGCTAAGTTCTTTATCCATGGTCAAGTGCAGCTATTCCCACTCATGGGGAAGACAAATGTATGACTCCATAGTCTTCCTCTTCTCTGCAGCTGTAGCTCCCTTGCTCCTCCCAACCCCACCTCTAAGCTAGTTTCTCTGGACCCTCATCCCTTAACCATATGTTCAGAATTTGTTCCCAAAATTGTCAACAAAGGACATTCATTAGCCTGTTCCAAACAAGGATTCCAGAGGCAACTTGTGTTCCTCATTCTGTTGCTTCCCCAGTGCATGCTCTCAAGAGAGAAAATATAACCTGTGTCACTCTGAGTAAAGTATAAATCTGGGGTGGGAGGGGGAGCACATAATCTGCCTTCTGAGATCAGCAACCTCATTTCACCCAGAAGAGAAAAATCAACAACCTCATTTCATCCAGAACTACTCTGCTCCTCATCCTTCTTTTGATCTCCTATTTATTGGTCCACTTTAAGAAGATAGACTACCCAAAAACTCTGATTCAGCTACTGTCTGAATTAGTGGAAGAATAGAAACAGGTAAATACCCACTATACTAATAAGGGACAACAGAAGACTATTTCTACATGAGAAGCCCCAGAAGTTTTTGTTATTTCCATGAAATGCAGGATAGGACTTAGTGGCAGATAATGTAGAAAATGCGAATATATTATTTTTTAATCATGTGGCCTTACAATCTTTATTCACCTCTAAGAATTTCACCTCATAGAATCCCACTATGACTAGTATGATAGTCAAGTGAAGAAGTATGTTCCCTGTTTATAACTTCATTTTACTTCTCTATGGTTGTGAAGCCTGAATCTGATGCAGATGTGAACACTCAGCCACTCCCTGAAGATTGCAGGTTGGTAAGCAGGAGGGGAAAGGCATCCAGACCATTGGGTAACTTCTCTTGATCCCTGATTCCAACCATGGAGTGCAAGCCATTAGTGGATTGGAATCAATTTAATGGGTTGCAACCAGCATTTGAAATAAAAATGTTTTAAATAGAATAAAACAAAAAATATCACATTGTATCCCATATAGTAAGTAAGAAGTGTTCTGTAGAACTACTACTGAGGTTAGATACAGATGTATGCCAGAAAATGATATAAAATGTAGAATGTATTATAGTAAAAAATTCTTGAAAGCTACTGCTTTATAAATGTTTATAACAACACACAGAAAACTTCTTGAATAAATCAGTAAAGACACTCCTACATAATGTGACTCTTAAATCACATGAGTTCACAAATCAGTAGAGACTTGAAGTGCTCTTGAAATGCTTAAATATAGAATCTCCTAGAAAACCCTGGAGGCTCCAGGGTGGCTCAGTCGGTTAAGCATCCGACTTTGGCTCAGGTTATGATCTCAGGGTTCCTGGGTTCCAGCCCTGTATCAGTCTCTGGGCTGACAGCTCAGAGCCTGGAGCCTGCTTCAGATTCTGCTCTCTCTCTCTCTCTCTCTCTCCCTACCCCGCTTGCACTCTGTCACTCTCTCTCTCTCAAAAATAAACAAAAAAAAAGAGGGGCGCCTGGGTGGCTCAGTCGGTTAAGTGTCTGACTTCAGCTCAGGTCATGATATCATGGTTTGTGAGTTCTGGCCCCACATGGGGCTCTATGCTGACAGCTCAGAGCCTGGAGTCTACTTCCGATTCTGTGTCTCCCTCTCTCTTTGCCCCTCCCCCGCTTATACTCTGTCTCTCTCACAAAATAAACTTTAAAAACAAATTTTAAATAAATAAGAGACTACTATAATTATATGAGAAAAAAAGAAACAGCAGAAAGAGTAAGAAAAACAGCAATTCTAAGAAAAGTTAAGTAGACAAAGTAAAGCAATGTATAGAATCAATGGGAAGTATGGAAAGTGAATACAGGGGGAGAAAATAGTAACTAGTCTGGAAGGGAGCAGCTGCTGGAAGCATTCCTTTTCTAACTCATTCCACAAACTTTCTGAACATCACCTGTGAGGAAGAGACTTGCCTCATGTTGGCACTGGGGAGAGTACCATGTGGGAAAATAATGGCAAGAACTTCTCTATACAGGGCAAACAAGACTGGAAAGGATACAACACCATTCAAATGGGCCACTGGTCTGGGTCAAGTCATCAGAGGAAAAGTTCACTGTCCATCACTCTTTGTTCTCTTCACATTTCACCTGTCCATTTCAGAGCACCTCTTCCTTTCTCACCTTTTATTATCATCACTTTTTTCTCTTCAGACTCAAAATTTTTCAACAATGAAAAATAAAACCAGGTTGACTGAATGTATCCTGCTGGGTCTAACAGATGTCCCTGAACTCCAGGTGGTGGTTTTCACCTTTATGTTCCTTGCTTATTTACTCAGCATCATCAGAAATCTAACTATCCTCATCCTCACCTTGCTGGACTCCCACCTTCAGACTCCCATGTATTTCTTTCTCTGGAACTTCTCTTTATTAGAAATGTCCTTCACAAACATTTTCATTCCCAGGGTCCTGATCAGCATCACAACAGGGAATAAGAGTATCAGTTTAGCTGGCTGCTTCACTCAGTATTTCTTTGCAATATTCCTTGGGGCAACAGAGTTTTATCTTCTGGCTGCCATGTCCTATGACCGCTATGTGACCATACGCAAACCCCTGCATTACATGGCCGTTATGAGCAGCAGAGTCTGTACCCAAATGGTTCTCTACTCTTGGCTGGCTGGGTTATTGGTTATTATACCACTAATCCCTCTGATGAGTCAACAGGACTTTTGTGCATCCAACAGGCTGAATCATTATTTCTGTGACTATGAGCCCCTTTGGAAACTCTCCTGTTCAGACTCAAGCCTCATCAAGAAGGTTGTCTTTTGGGGCGCCTGGGTGGCGCAGTCGGTTAAGTGTCCGACTTCAGCCAGGTCACGATCTCGCGGTCCGGGAGTTCGAGCCCCGCGTCGTGCTCTGGGCTGATGGCTCAGAGCCTGGAGCCTGTTTCCGATTCTGTGTCTCCCTCTCTCTCTGCCCCTCCCCCGTTCATGCTCTGTCTCTCTCTGTCCCAAAAATAAATAAACGTTGAAAAA